ATTTTATGTTATCAGGAGACCATGGGCTCCTGATGTTATTTGAGCTGCCAAATTTTATTTCGTGCAAAAATGAGAAAAATCTTGCAACGAAATCGATTGCAATACATCTTGAGAATTTTTTTTTTTTTAAGAAATCCCTGTTGATGACAGCCTGCAGTCGACGATAATGGACCTGGGCGGGTAATGCATATTAAATTTTCTGAAATAAATCGATCGCCAATGGACCAGATTTGTCAATTGAAAATTTCGAGACCTCAGGACTGATTCTGGCCCAAGACCTTTTTTCAGCCTGATTAACACTTTTTTCCAGTCCACATTAAAAAGTGGCTTCAAGAATATCACGCGAAAAGTTGTCGTGCAATTATTAAGGTTATTGTACAGAAAATAGTACAAAGGAAGACACAATATCCCACGGCAATAACGCTAATTGAGCATATCTTTAAGATCACATCTCGCTTTTTACCTGAGATGCTGAACAAACTGTGAACCCAAGAAGTGGACATTTGCCAGAACTTGTCCGTCATCGTCAAAAATATCGGAATTGCCCATAGCGGGAAATAAAAAAGATCTTTTTCCCAGTCTCAAAGGTCAAAGCCTCATGTCAATTACACTGATTTAATATTCTGCTCACACACGAAAACCTATTTTACGCAACGAGACACATATGCAAAAATATTCATCGCATTAGCACTGAAAGCCTATCATCTGTTTTCAGAGAAGAAATCATCAAACAATTTTATATTTTTGGAAGCACTTAAGGCGAAAATCGTGCCAGTGCGCGCGATGCACAACTCCGCGCGCGACCAAGCTTGCTTCAATAAGAACAATTAGAGCATTCTCGCAAATGAGCTTTTTTTACTTTTTCTCGGGAAAAGCAAATAACATAACAGAAAACAATATTGTTTTGGGAAATAGATACTCTTGTTCTCTTGTTGATGGCAATTAAAGTGAAGTGGAGAAAGAGAGCATTTTAATATCAAGGTCACAGTCCCAGGAATCGAAAGCCGATAGTTTCTTATCCCTAAACATGAAAGAAAACAAACTGAGCAAAACGCGAACAAATCGTTTCCGATTTTCTTTCAGTTAATACAAAGCAAGCCGATATCGGCGCACACTAGCGATCACTTTTTTCTCTCATACAGTTACTACATCTGAATTATCATGAACAGTCAAGTTTGCGTTCTTTTCGTTTTCGCCTCACACGCGTTTTTGCGCGCGCTAGGGCGTGCTGTCACAACTGATATGGGCCTGTTTTGACCCGACTAGAGCCAGATCTGATACGAGGAACAACGACCAGGGGCCCGTTTCTCGAAGGTCCCGTAGAGTTTTCCCACCCGGAAAACCGTAGCCAAATCTCAAACCTTATGATTGCAGAGCTGTTTTATTCACATATTCTTAATACGAAAAGTTTCCGGGGCTTTCGAGAAACGGGCCCCAGACCGCTTTCCATTCCTTCCCAGCTCTACTCTAACGGGTGGCCAACGAGTGTTTTCTTTCTCGTGTTCAGTCCTGATTCAAAACATTTAACTTTTATAAAAAAAGGCCTAGCCTGTTGTTGGCGGCTAAGAACTCAAAACAAAAGTGAACAAAGGCACTTTTTAGGAACTTTTAAGACGTAACAGTAAGGCTTAATGGAAATAATAAGGCAACCGTATTTAAAAGGAAATATTGCATAACCAATGATTTCACCGGTTCCATTGCTTCCATATAATTCTACGCCCGAGACTGTGGATTTCGCCAACACCAAGAAAACAATGTTTGAAGTCTATGCACTGAATCGTGCCCTCGTTCTTGACGAACTTTGATTTGGTCTTGACGGTTTTCGTATTCTGCAAAATTACATCATACTTAAAGACCAACGATCAAGATAAATGAAGACGGAAAACATAACTGAAAGCTTGTTTAAACCTGAAATCTACACCGAGTGTTTGTGAATTAAGTTATACGGCGCACTGTTGGTAGCCTGCGAACGCAGACGTATTTCCGGCTGTCGCTCGTCTCCGCCGACAGCCGGAAATACGTCTGTGTTCGCAGGCTACACTGATGGTGTCGCCGCGCACTTTTTCACCATTTGTCTTAATTAGTTAATTAAGTTACAACTGGAAAGGAGAAAAAAGGTCTCTCGTGGTAATCACCCTTGATGAGTCAGCTCACTCGACGTACAGAACAAATTGTTTTATGTTAACATAGATTTAAATGCCACAGAAAGAACAGAAATATATTTTATGTGTAATAAATCAAAAGCGGGGTCAACTATAGCCAAAAGAGTAAACACTTAGCTGATTATATGAGGTACACAAACAAAACAATCCACAATTGTCTACGGGTAATTAAGGAGCACTCAGTAATCCTTATTTAAAAATATAAAAAATATATATATATGTATTACAGTGGAGGTCTGTATTTAGAATGGTGTTTTGTGACTTATTAAAATAAAACTATGCAGAAGTAATAAAGAAGAAATTTTACCACTAGTATGAGACAAAGAAAAAATCTGAGACTTCGATAGGATATGAACTCATGACCTCCCAGATACAGGTTGGGCGCTCAAATAGATGTACCGTGTGGAGAGAAAATTAGAAGGCAGACGGGCGGGGATTTAAAGAATGAACATCCAGTCAGGATAGTAGCAAGTTACATGACATCACGGCATAAGGCAACCTCAGACAACAAAAGATATTTTGTGTATCATACAAGTGATGGTCATGTGAAAATGCTTGAAAAACAGAAGATGAACTAAGCGGGCGGGAGAGGGTGGAAGTGGAGGTGAGGGAAGCACTATTAAAGGTCTCTCGAGTTGATCAATGACTAGTTTCAACTAATCCGGATCAATTATGAAAGATAAGATTTTGCTTTAACAGGAAAATCCCGGATAAGACTAAAAAATAACAACTTGAAAATTATTATACCGGATAAAATAAATAAGATTATTATATGGTAAGGCAAGCTGAACACAAGAATATCCTCCTTTGCAACTGATAGATTAAGTCTAGAGAACCTTGGATTCTAAACGCCCCTAAAACAGCTTGATCATTCCGCGATACTGCTCAGCAGAGACGTCAATGATCGTGTAACTAACCCACGCACCGCGCGCGGGCGCGTGAAGCACGCGCGTCTCGCACAGCTCGAACGCATGGCATCTTCACGGTAGGGAGCGGTGGCTTGAAACATCTTGAGAACAAGCTGGAGAAGACATTTTTCGCGTTTTTCTCGTACTTGGATACAAGAGTTCTATAACGACCCAGGAAGAGATATAAAAGGCGATATCTGTTGCCAGAATCACTGTTCGCTTGCGACAGATATCAATTTCCTTCCGCTATCGGGAATAGGGCTCTTAACTCAATGTTTTCGTGAGGTTGGGTCAAACGTTCTACGAATTTTAAAAATAAAACTTGACTACTGCAGTGACTTCATTTTACAAAAATTGGCGTAGTACAATGAACAGTTGGGTACATTGTCGAAGATTGTGCGAAGAAAACATGAACTCTTTGTTCTGTTAAGCATGCAAGAACAATAATGCTAATAGGCAAAAAGTCAGAGCCAGTTGACCGAAACGACTTACTGTAAACTGTACACAATCATTAACATAAGCACTCTCTCAGTTTGGCAGGTATCTTGACCCAATAGTCGCTACTGTGGTGGGCAACTTATCATGTCTGATGCATAAATAGAAAACCTCCGTCACTTGTGCGGTTTTTTCGGATAAAAGTTTAAAAACTTTAGAGCATACTTCTTACCACTTGATTCCCTGGTATGCGAAACACGCATGAATTCTTTGGGTAATACGTGTGAAAGACAACTTCACGCGCGATGGATCAATAATAAAGCGACAAAACAAAGTCATTTCTAAGAAGAACGACTCCATTCAAAATATTCAACTCCTGAAGTGTTTGTAAGACTCATGCAGGCTATTTTGGCCATTCAACCAAGCATTTTGTTTTGGACGCCAAATACGCCAACGCTCGAAACTAAACGTCCTGACGCTGCACTGTGAGCCAATCGTGAGCCGCCATGAACGTTGTCCTGGCAACGTCAAGCACCTGCCATATGCATAACAGGTGTAAACGGCGAAAGAGTAAAGTGTCAGAAGTTTTTGTCTTTCCACTTACGATCACTTAGATTTTAGCATGTAATTATTCGATTAAAAAAAAAGAATTTCTTATCTTAAAAGCTAGCGACCAAAATAGGCATTTTCGGTTTTTGCGTGGCTGTTATTCATTGACTTCCATTATTCATAAAAATATAAATATAAACATCACATTTGAACCTAATAAAGCTGCTTTCGCTAGCAACACTTATGATAAACAGTTCATTTCTCATTGATTGTCGATATATTACAATCAGACAGGCGACTGGCCTGAGGACAGTCACGACTCGGGGATATTACGATTTACAATTAAATTCTCTGAACTAGAATACATAGAAACGTTTCACAATCTGGTAAAGAGAATTGATATTCTAATACCGGGGACTGAATCTGCTCTGTGGGACAAAACCTTTCCTTAATTAATGCAGATTGAATTTTCATGCTCCTTTCTATCGAATGATAAAAATAGCCTAATGGGTCTCTTTTCAGGGAAACTGCCACGTTGATCATTAAGAAAATCAACCTTTGGATATGGTATTACAATATTAAAGTGGAAATCAGATCTCTTTGACGGTATTCTTTGAGCTGGTTAAAAGAAAAGGTTTATGGCTGTAAAAGGTTTTTAAAAGCAACATCATCTATCATGCCAGTTGTTCGAGCACTCCATTTTCCCTTGAACACTCTCAATATGGACGTGTCACCTTCATTTTAACACCTGCCCGGGAAAGTGGGCGGAAAAATGGCTGCCATTCAAAACAACGACAAGTCTGCAAAAAGCTGTCTAAGAATTAGACAAGAAGACTACAAACAACATTTCTTTCCACAGACTTATTAATGTTTTATAGAAACATTTAAATACAAAATCCACAGCAATAAATAACTTCTGTTGACACGTAATTTACCAAACAGTACGTACCTGAGTTTTGAATATGTACATTAAGTATTTTCTCTTTAAGACTCATACATGTATACTCCCCATTTAAGACACGTCAGTATTATCATACTGTCAAATCATAGTTAATAGAGGGAATGGTTAAGAAACTTGGCAAAGTTCTTTGTTGTATGTTTTTGTTGGCTATTTGGGGGGTTGACCCTACAGAAAACCTGGCAAAATACAGAAGGATGTTATGTGTGCTCACACAACTAACCAATAGAAGCATTGCAATTATGTAATTCACGCATAGTCAATGAGCATAAAACAAAAGATGAGCAGGGTCAAGGACTTGCTTGTTCTCTTCTCCTTGCTTCTTTGATGTTTACCGGGCTTCGTAACCATTTCCCTCCATTAACTATGGTCAAACCCATCCTTTTATGTATTTTTCGTTCTAAGTCCTGACTCTAAGAACTCAATAAACCCGCTTTTTCCATCAGAAGTTGCCTAGTAAAATGATGTAAAACGCAAATGCGGGTGCAAATTTGTAGTTGACGAGTTATCAGAAATGTTCGGATAGTCATATAGGGGACCTTTTTTTCTCCAGAAAGCTACTTGTTCCACCAACTTTAAACAGATAACCAACATCAGAGTCACAATTGAACAATGTCACCCAACTCATACTATATCTCACCAACATCAGTAACCGTGGGCGCAATATGCAGACGTACAAGCACTATTCTGTAATGACCTTTGTACCTTTCAGTGTCGGAGTAAATACGCAACTGGTGGATGGATTCCTTTAGGGTGACCATATCAGTTCATGTTGCCTATAAGCTCCTCTACCTCCATTTCAAAACAAATTTTCCCTTCTCACGTAAGTCTCTTCTGTTCTGTTTTTCGCATCAAGAACGTGACGCGCCAATAAAGCAACCTTACCGTGAAGAGCTGTTTTCTAGTCTTGCATTTGCGCAAGTTATCGCTGTCGGTCTTCCTCGTGGTGATAATGCCTTCTGCCCTCTCTCAAAAAAGTCTCAAGTCTCGTTTCCGCGTGTTTTGAGCTTGTTCAAGATGCGAACACAGTGTTCCGACACCACGCTGTCATTAGTCCGCGCAGTACTGGGAACCGATGAAACGCTGGATTGCTGACTGCTGGCGCCAGACATCCGGGATCTTTCTAGGTATCTGAGAAGCCGTTGTTGTATACCAAGAGAAACCAGCACCTACACCGAAAAACACGACAAGGCGAAAACAAACGGCAGTTGCCTTTACGTCATAGTACCACTTAAGAATTGTTTTCTGGCCTACACAACGTGCTGCTCGGGTTCGAGCGAGAAACTCCAAACCAATTCCCACTACCCCTACAAAACAACAGCCAATCAAATAACGTTGTGATAATCACTCGGTCGGTGTTCAGTCGCTCGGTCAGTCTGTCGGTCAGTCGGTTTAATAGTTGGCGACGCAACGGAACAAGCAACTAACTCCTGAAATACCACAAAACTGAAGCCGAGATCAAGAGATCTAGATCTACAAATCAAGCAATCTGACAAACCTGTCTACACCGTGGGTTTCTACAGAAAAGTCTCAGCGTCTTCAAAGCGGCGTCCTGAGGCTCGATATGGCCGTCATTGCAAGCCATGTCAAGAACACTAAAACAAGACAGACATTCAATTTATGTCGGTCTACAAAATTAAGCGTTCTGGTAAGAAACTAACACCTAAATTGTCAGAGAGCAGTTGACCACTGCAGCAGCACATATATATGGGTTATTGACCAAGTGTGAGGTCAAGATGGCTGGATATTGGCCAAGTTCTTTTTTTGCGTGTTTATGGACCGAGACGGAGTCGAGGTCCAAAACCACGCAAAAAAGAACGAGGCCAATAT